AAATCCCAGGATCTGCAACCAAGAATACTTTATCCACCAAAGCTATCATTTAGAGTTGAAGGACAAATAAAAGAGCTCCCCAGTCAAAAATAGGCTAAAGGAATTTACCAACACTAAGCCAGTATTACAGAAATGGTTGGAGGGACTTCTTTAAGGAAAAAAAAAATGTGTCAAAAACATGAATAAAGAATGATAATAACTACATTCCTGTCAACAAGTATCTCAAATGGAAAAGAATTAAGTGCTCCAACTAAAAGATAGAGTGGATAAGAAAACAAGACCCCTACATATGCTGCCTACAAGAGACTCACTTCAGATTAAAAGACACCGACTAAAAGTACGGGGATGACAAAGATATTTTCTTGGTGGACCTAGAGAGTATTCACTGAATGAAGTAAGCCAGGTAGAGAAAGACGAATAGCACATGATTTCACATACAGGTGGAATCTAAACAAAATAAACAACAACAACAACAACAACAACAACAAAAACGTAATAAACTCATAAATACAGAGAATATTTTGAGGGCTAGTAGATGGGAGGGGAGTCAGGGGGACAGTGAATAAAAGCAAAGGGTTTAAGAAGCACAAATAGATAGTTGCAGAATAGACATGGAGATGGAGAGTGTAGCATGGGGAAGATGGTTAATAAGGTTGTAATAAATATGTAAGGGGGAAGAGGGATAGATTTAGTGGAGTGATCACTTTGTGAGATGTGGATTTCTGATCACTCTGCTGTACAACTGAAACTGGTATATTATTGTATGCCAACTGTAATAGAAAAAAAAAAACAGGAGCAGGGAAAGATGGCGGACTAGGTGAAAGTAAGATTAGCCTCCTCCTAGGTCTAATGTAAGGAGGAGACAAGAGAATTAAAATGTTAATGAAGCCACATTCAGAGACTGCAATGTGCTGATCAGCCCTGCAGCCAGGCCAAGAGGACACCTTCAGAACAAGGAAGATTTCTACTGGGATTTCTAATGGGCTAACAGCCCATTCTCCATATCTGCAAAGAGGAAGCAGGAACCGAGTCATTCTCTATGGCTAAAACCAAGGGAGCCTAAGGATTACAGACTGGGAACTGCCAGTAGGTCTTTCACGCTACATATTCTTACCTTTTTAGGCTACATACTCTTCCCCTTCCTCACTGTATATCCATATCAAAGGAAATGGGAACTAAAGAGAGACAATAAACTGAATTCCCTGAACACTCAAGGTCCCTCTCAGCGCCTTTACTGTATCTCTCTGTCTCTTGCACCGTCTCTCTCACTCTCTGCCTCTGAGAGGAGATCACACTGTCTGTGGAGTGTTACCTGTTTTCTAATAAACCTTCCTTTTGACTCTAACTTTGACATGTGTGTTGAATTCTTTCTTCACTCTCTGCCAGAGAATCCTCTTCTCTAGGTGCAAGGCTTGGTCTCCCGGTCACTTGGGGAAATTTTCCCTGTCATGCATAATCTTTCCTAGTGACCATGAAGGGACCAAAGGACATAAACTCATCCCACCCAAATTCGCTATGGCTCCTCTCATCTGAGAGTGGCTGGAATTTATTTCCCTAGGCCATGCAAATGGTTGATGCCATTTCTAGTGGACTGGTGAGAGACTTGTTTTCTAACTGAGCAGGAGTCCATGGGTCCTGTCTACTTGTCCTATTTTTCTTCCTCTTACTTTCCTGACTTGTCATCACCATTGGAATTGCAGAGAAGACCTACTGAAGGACCCCGTCCAAACTCCAAATTAAAAGACTGTGCAGCACCTTTCAGTCACGACAGAATGGGTAAGCCCCCATGGGAATCCTCTGTTCCTTTTGACTCCTTGCTTTCATTTTCGCTGGAGTGCTCACAACCAGGTCAGCAGTGGGCTGCGGAAGCTTGCCCCGGCTTACTCCCACAACCTTGCCCCTTAGCCTTTTCCTCCTTCCGTCCCCTCTCCAGCAGGAACTCTAGTGGGAAAGAGGCGGGGTCATGGTAGCAGCTCTGTTGAACAACTCCTAACTCGTCTCCTATCTATCTGGTCCTTATTTCTCGATTGGCTCCGGGACACTGGAGCAATCTCAGAGTGGGCCCAAATAGCTCAGAGCTGAACACTGGGCTGGCCAGCCCCAGCCAGCCCGGATTGCGTCCAGTTCTGCATCCCCTGCGGTGCGGGACTTCGAGTTGAACCTGGGCACCCTGGGTAAAAGCACTGAATCTTAACCCCAAGATACCAGGGAACACAATCTTAGCTATGCCTGAATCTGAAAGCATGTCACTCCACCCCCTGAAAGGGGCACACATGCGCCCTGTGGCCAGGTGACACCTGGAAAGGTAGAAGGTGGGGAGGATGGCAACACGGGTCTGGGCCCACTGCTGCTAGAAGGGAAGAATGCTGTAGGGATCTGGGTCCACTACTGCTACAAGTATGCACAGGGGTTTACCTGCAGCTCCAAGGGAGGGAGGAAGAAAGGGAGAAAAGAAGAAAAGAAGGAAGAAAAGAAAGAAAGAAAGACAGAGAGAGATAGAGAGAGAGAGAAAGAAGGGAGGAAGGAAGGAAGGAAGGAAGGGAAGGAGGGAGGAAGGAAGGAAGGAAGGGATGGAGGAAGGGAGGGAGGAAGGAAGGAAGGAAGGAAGGAAGGAAGGAAGGAAGCAAGGAAGGAAGAAAGGAAGGAAAATAGACTTTTGTGTTCAGACAGAATGAGGAATGGGGTTTAGGGCTTAAAAACCCTGTACCTCTACATTTCGGGGCTGCTTAATTTGGGGTCTGCGTACTCCTGGTGTGTTTCCTATAACTCACTGAGTGTGTTTCCTATAACTCACTGATTTCTGGTGGTCCGTGTGTCTATCGGGGGCTGGCGGCTACAACACAGGGCTTGGTCTTCTCCTACTCAGGGAAATTTGCCCTGTCTTTCATCAAGTCTGCATTGAAATTACAACCAAATTATAGAATAATCAACATGGATGATCATGTGAAGTCCAGATGATCATAACACATACATCTGATAATATAAAAAAGGAGCCTCAGTGAAGCAAGTTTGTGGGGTACAGTCACAAATTGGGGTGAATCCTCACCCGTGAGTGGTGGAGAAACACTGAGAGGAATAGTGAGGCTGCAGAGGCTTCTCTGAAAGAAAGAGGTGTCCTAGCCTCATTTGGGGAATTCCCAGACCAGGGAAGAGGAGTTTCCCAAAACTCTGCCTATAAAAACCAGAGGAGATTCTGGCCATCTAGGTGAGGTGGAAAGAGACTGAAACCCTAGACGCCCCTTTGAAGGGACCACACGCAGGCTCTCTGAACTGCAGACACTCACTTGGGGCACTGGCAGTGGGTCA